ATCAGGGACGTGTGATGTTATTTAAGTATAATGATTGGAACTATATTAAACGCAATATGCTTGGACTAATCATTTAGAAGAAATAGTTTAGTATTAACTTTGGAGACCCACCTTGGTCGTAGGTGGTGATGTTTCCATTTGCGGTAAGTGCCGCCAGCTGATTGGTCCTCTCAGGCTGGCATAGGAAGGTAACCTGATTGACAGGTGAGCTGAGCTGGAGCTCAAATGAACACATGGGTGGAGGAACTATGCTCTGTCTGAAGGTGGTCACCAGAATCTTGTCTGGAGGGAAGTGATTTAATATTTTTGATCATATTAACCAACAGCATTACTCCGATCTAATTGGTCATCACCTCCGTCAATCACAGCGACGTTGGCATGGTCCGAGGCATCTGTGCCCGGGCTCCTCTCCGTCGTCCAGCCCCAGTCGTAGGCCAGGTAGATCCAACCGCGGGTGGCCATGTGCAGCCGCAGGGGCCGCTCAGGGTCCCAGCACATGCACTCCGGAGCATGGCTTGGGTCTGTGCCGAAATCCAGGCTCTGCTTCAGGTACCAGTGGTAGTTTGCCACCGTCCATAGCTGCACTACAGGCAGACGACAGGACGATGTTCATGTATGCAGTGTGTAGGAGACACTCACAAGTGGACTGAACTCACCACAAGTGTTGACGCGTCCGTCCTCGCCCGCTGTTAAATCCTCCAACCAGATAGCCAGGACTGTGGAGTCATTGTTCCACAGAAGCTCCTTCACCTTAAAGAGGAGGGGTGGGGGGGGGGGGTGTCACATCAATCTTTTGCCCAAAAAGCATAGGATAGCATGAACATGCCTTGGCCTGGTCTTTTCTGAGAGGCAGGGTGAATTCTCCATGCAGCAGACCATTCTTCTCCAGAAAGACCACACTGTGCTTGTTTGGATGGCGCTGAGTGCTTGCCATCAGGCTTCCGGAGGGTCTGAAACATGTTTTTTTGTGTGGTTTTTATGTTTTTAATAACTCTCGAGAAAAGCAATTGCATTAATCATGTGACGCATAAGGCACATGTGGCATATTTCGAAGCATTTTGTTTACAGTTCAGGGTGTACGTTGATTGCCTAAAAGACAGGTGGGATAAGCTGCAGCATACCAGTCACCCTTGTGAGGATAAGCGTATCACAAAATGGCTGGATGGATATGTTGGGAGTCAAATTATTTACTTGTTACTGCTGCAAATGGCAACAAATATGTGACTTAACTTTTAACCTAATTGCACAACACAAATTTGATTTGAATAATTGTCAGTGTATACTGAACCACACCGAAAATCGTGATCACAAAAATCAAGATGCGGACCAAACCATGAATTTTGTGAACCATTCAGCTTTTTTGATTAGAATTATTCTTTTTCAAGTATGCATCAGACACTCACACTAACCAAAACTTACGAGACTTTAGGTCGTGAGTTGGCTAATGTCAAGACATCTTCTGCAAATAACATCAACTTTTAATCAACAAATTTCTTACTTCCAGGAGAGAGGGTGCTCCAGGCCATCGATGGGTTCGCTGGTGGCCTGCAGGACACATTCCCTGTTCCACACCCGGACCTTGCGGGCTCCCGTATTGGGGCAAACGGCACTGACGGCAAAAAGCTGTCCATCCCCTCGCCATGTCACCCGAGGCCGGCGGTCGTCCCACTGTGCCGCCGGCTTGATGTCCTGCAAGCGCATTTGGTTCTGACTAAAGTATTTACACGGCATCCGGTAAGTATTCACATCATTTCACTTTTTCCACAATTTGTTATGTTATAGCCACATCAACCAACGGAATGATTTTCCTTAAAATTCTATGATGCGGGATTTTCTAAAAATTTAAAATGGATTAAAATTTGAAATTACCAGTACATGTACACAAGTATAAACAAAAATTCAAGCAGAAGCTGTCCAAAAATTCATAAGTTTGATGGATGCAAGAATAGCAAAGCTGCTATGAATAAGACGTCTTTTGTTAAAGTGTACGTGCACCTGTTAAGATATTTTTGATGGAAATACCTTTTGATTTCAGTAACTATAACCTCCTAATGCTGCAAATTCAACAAATGACCATTTTTAGTTCTTCACAACCTAAAAAAAAATGTCTGCGCAAAATAATATGGAACAGTGCATTTTAACAAAAACAGTGTTTTTATTGTTTGAAAAAAAAGTTCTGATCGGGAGGGTTGTTTAAAAAAACATTAAAAGTATTCTTTAACAGCTGATGACTTGAAGATTATGCATAGTTCCATTTGCACAGACTATAAAAATCTAAAGTAAAAAACATCACTTGCAGAATAATTTGGAGCACATTGCATGAATGTTTTCTAGACTGCTATGTCCCATGCGCCCCCCCCAACACACACGCGCACACACGCGCACACACGCGCACACACAAACCTGGGCCTTCCTCTGCGCAGCCTGTTTGCCTTCTGAGCCGTGGAACTGTGTCTCCTTCTTGCCCCAGCCCACTGTGATGAACTTCCCTGTCAAGAAGACGACTATGTTAATCAACAGTATTTATGACTACATTTTTCAACAGTATTCATAAATTCAAAAAATGACTCACTGTACCTTCGCCAAAGTCATCCTGGTGAATTGCAAACTCGGTAATGGGCTCAAAGTTTTTGGTCATCATGATGATGGTTTCCTGACCTACAAGAAACATGAATCACTGATACTTTTTCCTGTTTTTTGTGTTTTATTTTATTTTTTTGAGTACAGTTCCTCTATATAGCAGGGGAACACTGTATTTATGTAATTAATTTCACAGCTGACCTGTCGTGAGAATGACGAGCTCTTCGTCAGGACTCCAGCTCATGGAGGTCAGCCCGCTGTCTACACTGCCGACGCACTCCAACTGTTATGAGTAGACAAGTAATTGGTTTAACACAGAAGCACACTGTCCCGTGCAACGTACCTGGCTGGTGTTGAAGTCAAAGACGATGACATCCCCGCCAGCCGTGGCCAAACATGCTGACTCAAGCTCCGCCAGGTCTTGCAGCCCGACCACGCAGCCGCTGCCGTCTGCTGGGAGGTAGCCGTCCGCCGTCAGCGAGGCCTCGCTTATCACCTACAACCAGAAAGGATTTCAAACAAACAAAAAATGTGCGACATGCATTAAACAAAAAAAAAAAAAAAATCATACACAACTTGAGCAGGAGCAAGCTAGTATCAGATGTGAACACACCAAGCCATGACATTTGGAGCCTCATTTTATTATGTTAAAGACCGTTTTAATAAGGGACAGCTCTCTAAAAGAAAGAACTTGTTTTCTTTACAGATAATGTAGAAATTATATTTATAACTATTACACCTATGTAAAGAGGGAACAACTGTTTCAAAGGGTATTTGGCTTCAGGAAAAATCAGCAACATGAGCAAATCCCAGAGCGTTCGTCATCTGGAGTTCAACACACACTGTAAGTAACAACGTGACAAGTAGATGCCATCTTTGTGGAATTTTATAAACACATGGACTGAGCAATTCAAACGACTCTAAAATAACAAATTCTCTCCCTAACATGCATGCACGTAGGTGCACGCGCACAACTGATTTCTAAAGTACTTCACCTATTCTACTGCCCATACTTCTCACAAATACTGTTCCATTTGTGCTATTTAACTCATTCAGTACCAGCCCCCACAAAAAATTACTTTAAGTCTTGGAAAAAAAAGATAGGAAAAAAGAAAACCTCAGTACATGGGATTGAATGTGTGAAGTCTGAAAAGACATAAATATGTCTTTGGGAGTGAATGAGTGAATACATCTTTATTTATATAGCAGTTTGTAACACAGCACTTTATAGAACATTTAACATTTCATAGCACAGTGGCGTATTTTGGTCAAGTGACGCTTGAAACGTCGCTGTAATTTTGACATTATGACTTGGAGAAAGTCTCAAAATTCCGGCAATGAGCTTATTGGTGGATATTTGTGACTGAGATTTGTAAGCAAATCGGTGATGTAGCAGATGAAATGAAAGGGTTCAGAAAATCTGCTGAAAAATGAAGAAATTAAGTGTGTGTGTGTGTCTCTATACCGCCCCCCCCCTTCCCTCGACCTCCCTTACCTGTTCAGTTTGAGGGTTGAACTCTGCTATGGAATACTGGGAGGTGACCAGGAGTGTCTCGGCGTCGCTGCGGAGCGCCAAACACTGCGGCGACCCCAGACCTTGGAGCTCCGAACTCTGCAGGCTCTTCAATAGCTTTAAGTTCCTCATTTCGGCTCAGGACACGACACCTGCACACTGGAAATCATGCCTTTGCAAAGATGATGCTCACTTTGGAGTGACAACGTCAGGGAGTTATTCATTTAACAATTTACACTCGAAGTTCCATTTTAATTCCCTCAATTCAAAATAATAAAATTATGATGATAAGCAGCAACGACTTTTTTTTTTCATTTTCGCCATTGCGTCTATACAAAAATGGAGCTCAGACCACTAGCTTACATATGGGAGTTGACAACAAAACGACAATGAAGTCACTGACAAAAGGCGAGTACCCCACAATATAGAGAAACTTGTCTGAAATAATATGTGAAATAAGAGACAAAGTGGTTTGAGGTATTCATTATTCAATTTTCGTCTACTAGTCACGCGTCTGTCCGAAGATGAATCTTTGAAGCTAACTGCCAAAGAACGAGAATTTTCCTTCAATAATGACAACCAAATAGATGCCAATTTACTTATGATACGCAATAAAACCATTGATACTCACAGACTGGAGTAGTTTGTTGTGGTTCGCTGTAACTGGAGCGCAACATCAGCAACTCACATGTGGGGATACCAAGCTTGTAACCTTTCACTCTACGTTACAGTGTTTAACTTAGCTCTATATCGCCCCCTAAGGTCTCGGTGGACAACGGAGAAAACCCGATCAAAAGATTACAAATCACAATATACTGTATGTATATATTTGTATCCATATACACATCAGAATTTGAGACGTTTAATGAAATGTTTTATAATTCAATTATAAAACCATAAAATAGAAACCAAATTGAACTAAAGTACTTTCAGGAACGAGACATCCCGTTTGTCAGGTAATCTCGCGAGTTTGACAGGCGTGCTGCAGGGTTGACTGAAGAGGTGCGTGGCTGCTCGCGACTTCAGAGTGACCACAAGGAAGGATTTTTCCCGTGTTGAAAAGGGACCGCGACAAGGTAACTAAAATCGTTTTATACTTTGACGTGAATGCCTTTTTCATACATTATTAAAACCAACAACGGCTTTTAGCTTCATTTAGCTGCGTTTAGCACTCGGATTTGCGGGCATTTAAACCTTTTTTTTTTTTAAACAAATTTACTCATAACATGTCAACCCGAGTGATGGAAACTACCAGAACAAAGTCTCGATTTGTGTGTGTCTGTGTGCGTGTGTTTCCACACTTGGGTAGATTTTATGATAATAAAGTTGTAATGTTTTGTGGAAAAAAATGGAGAAATAATTCATTCATTATATTGCAGGGATGATTCTTAATGTTATGCGAAAAAATGTGTGAGAAAAAAGTTGAAACGTTACATAAATACGGTAGTTGGTTTTATCAGAAAAAAAGAAATATCAAGAGAAAAAAATGGCAATGTTATATGTACAAAGTGTAACCCAACAAAATCTTAGCAAGTATTTGTTTTGAAAAAACATTAAAGTCGTACTTTTTTCCTTGAAAATATTTGCTAAACAGAATAAATCATATTTTACATACGTAATCCTTGGTGGAAAAAAAGGTGGTTATATATTATAATAATAATAATAATAATAATAATAAATAAATAATACATATAAAAATAAATTCGTTATATTCCAAGAACAAAATCGTCTGAATACCATCTATCAATTTTCAACACCGCTTATCTTGAACAGTGTTGCGGGACGGTGCTGGAGCCTATCCCAGCTTACTTTGGGCGAAAGACGGACAACATACTGCTGGTCGTAGGTCAATCGCAGGGCACATATAGAGGTGAACAACCATTCACACCCACATTCACAACGTCACTGAGTGGGAACCGATGCCATGCTGCCCGCATGCAAGTTAAGTGTGTGTACCCAGTAGTCATGCCCCTTGCATGGTGTAGGGCCTACACCATCATCAACTGCTCAATCACCGTGCTGCCGTTTGCACATAAATTTCAGAAAATAAAGTTGCACTCTAAAAAAAATAGAAAAAAAGAAAATAGTCTTACTTTACCAGTATAAAATGTATTTTTTGTATCCAGATGGTATGAGCGGGAAAAACTTGGCGAAATAAGAGCAAAGAAAGAAAACAAAGTGGTGATGATACAAAAAAAGGCATAATCTTCTGAGAAGAAAATCATAGGGCAACCAAAAATTTATAATTGGATCAGAATGAAATCTTACTTTTTAAACAGGAAATGGCTGCAATTTACCCTGTTTGTCCATAATATTGAAAAGAGTAATAATGAAATGAAAGAAAGTGGTGATGAAACAAAATAAAAATCTGAGTAAAAACATAACACAACCAAATACATTTTTGAGGAAAGCGATTCCTGTCGTGTTTGCCATTCTGGGACTTGGTAGATGTGAATCTGGTCACAAACCTGAAATTAGACTTAATTACACAGGGGCCAAGCATGTGGTACAAATCAGTGCACTGCTCCCCTTGATGTTTTTGCTTGGCTTTGTTTGTCTTGCTTAACCTATGGTGTATCACGCCCTTTCTTGAAGAGATCACATAATGAAGAATAAACTGTTCTGCTTTTTGTTTTTGCAAGGATAGGTAGTCACACCCACGGAAAGAAAAAAATGTGTGCTGCAAAACAAAAAAAAAAAAAAAAAAAAAAAAGAAAGAAAAGAAAAATTGTAAATTCATTTCTCTTTAAGGCATGTTTTTTTAACAGTCTAAATCAAATAAATGATACAAAATGCACCGACAAAAAAGATCAAACTCAGTCTGAGCCTGAAGTTGAATTGTGAAAAATCAAGCGTGTGTTTAAGTAAAAAAAAACAAAAACAAAACAAATCTAAATAAGTTGTCATGTTTTAATGTTTCCATTTTTGATTGCCATGAGAGAATGGAAAGAACACGCGACACACAGAATCGCTAATGTTCCTCTCATTGTGTGACATATGTATGACATGCTATGAGTCTTTTTATATGGAAAACAGTTGGAGTGCGTGTGAACACTGGCTTCGAGTCTGCCCAAGCTCCAATGCTGTAATTACAACAGATGCATTTTCCGGTTTAAACTACCAATTGACGTCATGCCTCTACTAGCAGTCTTCTCATCAGATTAGGTCTACGAGTCTCCATTTTTTTTTTCATTTTTCAATTTCTAGTCTCATGAAATTCTTTTTTAAAACATAAACTTAAGATTTTATTTGTCATAAAATTAAGAGTATTCTCATAAAAATGACAAATTGTGTAAAATATTTTTCTACACCTATTACATTTTATTCCCGTCATATTTACACTTAAAAAAATCACATTCTTGTTATATTTCACGAAAATAAAACCTTTTCTTTGCAATATTTACACTATTTATGGCACCGCCTGACTTTTTTTCTTTCAATTTTTAGACTTGTACTATTAAGACTTAAATCTATAATAATGTTGAATTTCCAACTTTCTCCTTGTTCTTTTAAAACTTCATTATGGTACGATTGTGGATTTATTTTCGTAACATGTTACGTTTTTTTCATTATACGAAAAGTTGATTCTATTCTATATTATGTTGTACTATTTGCATTTATTTTTTTTGTAACATGGGGATTTTATTGCGAAAAATGAAAATCTATTTGTGCCGTACATTAAATATTTCCCAAAATGTTGCCAGTCATGTCCATGTTTTTGTCTTGAGGCCTCCAACTGAGCTAACATCGACACTGACGAGTTGTTCGCTTCAGGAATGTGGTCCCGCAGCATTTTCAGCTTTCCACTGCAATGAATTCCTTCCTTCTCTCAAGTCGATTTTGATTAGATCATGCAACATGGCATGACCCAGTAGTCATGCCCCTACTCGACTGACAAAATCCGCGTCCTACCAGGTAGTATTTGTAGTTGTATAGACCATATACTATTCTAGGTATGACCTGTATGTTTAGCTCCTTGTTCCAAGCGAGCCACTGCTCATTCATAGCTCGTTGGTCGAGCTGATTGGTCTTTGTCATTGTGACGTGCATGGTGAGAAATGACAAGAATAAACACCCAAGCTAATTTCAGCTGCCCTGTTGACTTGGAAGCAGTGCTGCGTTTGGCTCACTGCCCGCAGTCTCCATTGTCAAACCCAAGTCATCTGAGGAATGCGAAATGCCATTTAGTCACTGTTACCGCCAACTTGCAGAATACAAATCAAGATAACTTTTAGAATTTATGCAAAGGGTGAAAAAAAAAAGACCACATCATGTTTACACATCAGAGATGAAAGTCCTCCGGATTTTCCCGGAATTCCGGGTTTTTCAAATTTTTATGAAAATTTCTCCGGAGAATTGAGGAAAATTTGCATAATCCGGATATTAGTTGACAACATTGAACGAAGACGCGTTTGAGTTCGTTGTATTGCTTTCACGAGCGTAGCCATATTGAGGCACTAACACTAGTAACAGTAAAGAGATTTTTGTTTGTGTAATAACGACAGAAGGCATGATGTCGTTTGACTAATGGTTTAGTAGTCGAACGAATGGCAACTCGCAACAACAGTAGCAAGCGTCATTTTGCCTCTTGGGTTATACCATCTCAACTAGAACGTGGGGGATAGTCCCCAAACAATTTTCGTCTCTTTATAAACACACCTGCTAAACCCCAGTGGAACGAATAAAAGACGCCGTCAACAAGACAGTTGTCGTAAAATATATATTTGGCCAAAAAGGGACACAGATTGGCAGAAAATCGTGTCCGTCTGACTACGAGTGTCGTCTCGGCTAACTTAGCTTAGCTGTTGTCGTGTGTGACGTCATTTGCGTCGGCGCTGATTGGTTGAAATCAAAAGACGCGCTTGCGTACATGTTCGCGCTGAAACCCGCACAGCAGAGAGCAGCGGACTATCTCCTGCTGAGGCTCGCT